TGGCGCCAGTCTTGTATCTTTGTATATATGAATGAGAGAATGTTTGTATTATATTTGTCAATAAATTAATCAATTTTCATTTCCAAAATATATACAGATACGTGACAATTAGTTGATATAGAGCTTGCTTAAATATAAGTATATCTTTTACAAAGCCACAATTAGGCATAAGTATATCTTTTACAAAGCCACAATTAGGCATAAGTATATCTTTTACAAAGCCACAATTAGGCATAAGTATATCTTTTACAAAGCCACAATTAGGCATAAGTATATCTTTTACAAAGCCACAATTAGGCATAAGTATATCTTTTACAAAGCCACAATTAGGCATAAGTATATCTTTTACAAAGCCACAATTAGGCATAAGTATATCTTTTACAAAGCCACAATTGGGCATAAGTATATCTTTTACAAAGCCATAATTAGGCAAGGTAGAGAAACAAGCAGGAACTATCCACCTGGATCACCAAGGCCGCAGTCTACAAGGGTTGTTGACTTCTAAGTGTATTACATTCTTTAATAACAAGGAGTTTGTTGGCCTTGAGGTCATGAATAATGTGCGGAACGTGCTGGCTTTATCCATCTGCCACCTGCATCTCAAGTGCTTCCTCAAGCGACAGGAAATGTATTTATGTATATAGAGGAGAAACTGCACCATGTGTTGTTTACCAGCGTCAACACAGCACAGCTCTCTTGCGTGCGACTGTATGCTGGTGTTGAGTGCAGCTTCAATTGCGTGAGGCTGTATGCCGGTGTTGAGTGCAGCTTGAATTGCGTGAGGCTGTATGCCGGTGTTGAGTGCAGCTTCAATTGCGTGCGACTGTATGCCGGTGTTGGGTGCAGCTTCAATTGCGTGCGTGAGTATATCAGTGTTGAGATTCAGCTTCTTTTGCGTGTATCTGCGTGATGTTGAGTTGCAAGATTTAAGCATCCACATTTGTACAACTGCATCAAGATCTCACAATTATAAGAGTGTTATGAGTTAGAGAGTTATGAGTCCGGGTGTTATGAGGACGGGCTGTTATGAGGACGGGCTGTTATGATCTACACGATTTGTTATACGAACTTAACAAGCTTAAAGATTTAATCCTCAACCACATGATTTAACTCATTATACATTAACCATACTGAACATAAGGTAATTACTCCCATATCAGGTAATAATATATACCACAACACAATATATTAATTGTGATAAGAAAAATGATTGTGCACAGAATTTTTGCCAATAAATAATACAAGCTCTGGCTTTTTGGTAAAAAAAAAAAGCTTTTTCTGTAATAAAAACGAAAAATATCATGATATGATGCTCATGTTAGGACAAAAAGGAGATAGTTTTAATTATTTATATAGTTGTTATATGCTTATTTACTTGGTTTATTGGCATTTCTTTGGAATGTATGTGAATACAGATTTGTTATTAATTACAGAACGAAGTGTATTTTAAACGTATGTGTACTGGGCGGTATTCTGACTGTTGGTGTTGGTGTTATACACTTGACCTCCATTGCCAGATGGCGCTGAAATCTGTGTACAAAGAGATAGGAAATTCACTGACGCGGAGACAGTAAATCACCAAAATAATTATAGAGAAAACATCTCTGTGTGTTTTGGTGTGTGTTTGTGTACTCGCCTTGTTGTGCTTGAAGGGGTTGAGCTTCGGCTCTTTGGTCCGGACACTCAACTGTCGGTCAACTGGTGTACAGATTCCTGTACTGTCAATTGTCAATCCATTGGTGTGCGGATGTGTGTATGTGTGTGTGTGTAGTCATCTAGTTGTGCTTGCGGGGGTTGAGCTTTGGCTCTTTGGTACCGACACTCAACTCTCAATCAATTGGCGTACAGATTCCTGAGGAACGTGTGTGTGTGTGTGTGTGTGTGTGTGTGTGTGTGTGTGTGTGTGTGTGTGTGTGTGTGTGTGTGTGTGTGTGTGTGTGTGTTGATATCTCTGTGTAAACAACAGCTGGCGTCTGGCACAGCAAGTTATTGACGAAGCAGAACCTAACAATGAGTCATCAGACGGCATTGACATAGTTTCCGTGGACTTATTACTGTGGTGGCTGAAGGGGGTGATGGGGCAGGGGTGGGGGGGAGCCATTAGAATATGGGAGGTGGGGGAATGGGTGAGCCAGGAGATGTGAGGTATGATGTATTGGAGGACGAGAAAATAGAAGATAGAATAGGGGGAAGGAAAAATGTTGAAGGATGAAGATACCATGATAGCATGGCGAGTGTGGGAATTATCAGGGAGAAAGTGTCAAGCCATTACGACTATATAACACTTAGGAGGGGGTCAGGATAAGGATTTGGGATGGGACGGGGGGAAGGAATGGTGCCCAACCACTTGGACGGTCGGGGATTAAAAACATGGGGAAAGAGAGGTAGCATAGTAACTTCCCACTCTCTCTTTACTTCCTCCCCTCCCACCTATCCCACAGTCGTCCATACCCCGTCACAACACAGTAAACAATGACACTATATGACAAAAGATGAACACGATGAACGGAACGCTGCTGGAACCTATGTTACTGAACGAGCAGCAGAGACATTATGAACAGTTTTTGGCAGTGTCAGACCTGTGAACAAATGTGGAGGAGGCAGACTCCCCACACAAGCTCACGAACCTGAACACCAATCGATTAAAGGTGTGAGAGAAGGGAACAAGTAGTTTCAGGTCATCACTCGGACGCACAGCTAGTTGGGAACAGCTCCGAAACGCTCAGAACAGTGTTTAAACTTTAAAACGCTTCAACGCACGCGTGCGCTCTCAAAACCTCGTTTATTTTCAATTAAAAACACAGGATGAGATGCCCATACTACATCCTTCCCTCTCCCTCTCTTCCCTCCTTTCCAATTCCCTCTCTCTTTATATCTCGTAACTCCCCTTCAACACTACTCCTTCCCTCTCTCCTCAGAGAGAGAGGGAAGGAGTAGTGAGGGAGTCTTTCCTCTCTCCTCAGAGAGGGAAGAAATACAGAGTGAGGCAGAGTGTCTGAGTGAACAGAGTGGATTGTGAGCAGGGTGAGAAGAGTGGGTTGAGTGCAGGGTGAGAAGAGTGGGTTGAGTGCAGGGTGAGGTAGAGTAAGCAGAGTGTGGAGTGAGAAAAGAAGCCGATAAACTCTTAGAAATGGAGAATAAAAAATATTACTAAATTTGTGGGTGGCATTGGTTCTCGAAGCAGATGTTTTAGCAGTAACTTGCCTTAAAGACAGTAGAAGTGGTAATATTTTTTAGCAAAGTCTGTAGTGACAATGGTAGTAACAGCTGTCACAATGATATAGCATCAGTGCAAACACTCAAACGTCAAGGTCGTCAGTATCTTACCATCTGGGTGTGAAGTCATGTAGGAATGCCAGGGAACGACATTGAAGATGAAGCTGCCAAACTTGCAACTAAGATGAGGAATATAGACATTTACATACTACAGAGTCTAACACAGATTAACAAAATCATTAGGGATTGAGCAATGCAGATGATGTACAGTAACCATCAAGCAGCAGCTAGAAAATCATAATTGAAAAAATCAGTGGTTTCGTGCAAGAATTCGCCCAAATCCGAATCACTTATTTTGATGAGTGGACACATTGGGAAAACAGAAGTACACTCACATCGCATCAAACTAGAATACCCATGGGCATGGGAAAATAGGCTCCCATGTTCCAAGAGTGGGAATCTCAGCACTGTGGAGAGCTACAAAGCAAACAAGATTTCAGTTGAGGTTTAACAGCGCAGTTGTTAAATTTTGTGCTGAGGCCACAAACACGAGTCCCTTATACTCAGCCACGGCCTGAGTAAGTCAGAAGGGAGTAACACTTAGTGGGTCAGCCAGCGGCTTGGGGGCCGCGCAGGAATATTCATACTAAAAGGGAAAGCAACTGTTAGAAGTGGCTTTCTGAAAGTTGACCTTCCACGCAAGGTTAATTAGGAGTTGTGGTGGTGTTGTGGTGGGGTTGTGGTGGTGTTGTGGTGGTGTTGTGGTGGTGTTGTGGTGGGGTTGTGGTGGTGTTGTGGTGGGGTTGTGGTGGTGTTGTGGTGGGGTTGTGGTGGTGTTGTGGTGGTGTTGTGGTGGTGTTGTGGTGGTGTTGTGGTGGTGTTGTGGTGGTGTTGTGGTGGTGTTGTGGTGGTGTTGTGATGGTGGTGTTGTGTTGGTGTTGTGGTGGGGTTAATAATTTTAGTAAAAGGTGTTGTAATAATAATATATACATACTTACAGTTCTTACTTACCAAAAGTATTCAACTACTTACGGTAGTAGTTATAGTGGTATAAGGTTTTGTTGTTGTAGTTGTGGTTTTTATTAAAGTAGTAGAAGTAGCTGAAGTAGCAGTTGTAGTAGCCGAAGTAGTAGCTGAAGTACCAGTAATGGTGGTGTGTACTAGTAGTAGTAATTATGGTCATGTTGCTAGTATTACTAATAATAATTGTCGTAGTAATAATAATGTTAGTAGTCGTAGTAGCAATGGTAGTAGTGGTGGTACTTGTAGTGGTAGTAATGGTAGAAGTAGTAGAAGACGCTTGGAGGATCTTCACTTAATTACTACGAGACTCCCACCCCGGTGTAGTGAAGAGATTTGTGTCTTACCCAAATCTTAGATGAGTGTCAAGTACCTACGCCATCAGTGTCCTCTGTGTAGAGGCGCCACAGGAATTAATCATCAATCCGTGGTAAGTTTACAAGCACATGGAAGGTCTTTTACACTCCACGCAAGATTGAGAGTTGTTTGGAAAAGCCTTGAGCGCTTCACACAAGGTTAACAGGTGTCTGGGAAAGCCTTTGGCACTGCACGCAAAGTTAACTAGTGTCGAGGAAAGCCTTTGGCACTGCACGCAAAGTTAACAAGTGTCGAGGAAAGCCTTGGGCACTGCACGCAAAGTTAACAAGTGTCGAGGAAAGCCTTGGGCACTGCACGCAAAGTTAACAAGTGTCGAGGAAAGCCTTGGGCACTGCACGCAAAGTTAACAAGTGTCGAGGAAAGCCTCGGGCACTGCACGCAAAGCAATGAGTGGCAAAGAAGACCTTGAAACTCCGTCACAATACCACGGTGAACAGGCAATCATAGGAGGCCCTAAGGTAGTGCTTCTTCCGTCTTTATGGACATGATTGCGGGCTGATGTTGAAATGTGGTGAATGCTGAGAGGGGTGGAAGTAGACGGGAGGGTGAGAGGGAGAGGGAGAGAGAGAGAGAGAGAGAGAGGTTAAGTGGTAGGGGAAAGGTGTGTGAGGGATGGGAGGGGGCAGAGATATGGGAGAAAGTTCCTCTAGGTATACTGCTAAGTCACGCTACTCTCTGTCTCTCTGTCTCGGCCCCTTCATACAATATATATTATTCATCCACTCCTTCGCCTTCTCCCACTTCATCTTCCTTCGTCACTTCCTCGTCAGTTTATATTAATTCTCATCAAGTATCATCACCATGACAGTGTACCATCGACGTCTTCATTACAGACAGTTCTGGTCTGAATCACACGTAACTGGACGACTTAACTGGGAAGTACACAGCCAGAGGTACCGTGACTGGCTCCGAGGTACCGTGACTAGCTCCGAGGTACCGTGACTAGCTCCGAGGTACCGTGACTAGCTCCGAGGTACCGTGACTAGCTCCGAGGTACCGTGACTAGCTCCGAGGTACCGTGATCAGCCTGCAAGATCAGTCTTAGCCGCCTTCCATGACTTGGGTTAATGACTCCACCACCTGGGCGCTCAACCGAGACGGTATTTAGTGGTTGAAGAAGCACACAATTAAGTGGGGGAGAAGTACGGTTGTGACCAGGCGTAACTGCTGTCTCAGAGTGGGGGTGTTGTGGTGTTGTTGTGGTGGTGTTGTGGTGGGGTTGTGGTGGTGTTGTGGTGGTGTTGTGGTGGGGTTGTGGTGGGGTTGTGGTGGTGTTGTGGTGGTGTTGTGGTGGTGTTGTGGTGGTGTTGTGGTGGGGTTGTGGTGGGGTTGTGGTGGTGTTGTGGTGGTGTTGTGGTGGGGTTGTGGTGGGGTTGTGGTGGGGTTGTGGTAGATTTGTGGTGTTTCGATGGTGTTGTGGTGCTGTTGTAGTGGTGTTGTTTTGGTGGTGTTTGTTGTGGTGTTGGTGTTGTTGTGGTTATAGATATGATAGAAAAGATAGGTCAGTTGTCATTATATTAGACAATCGCCGGTTGATAAGACGTGATCCAAGAGCTGAAGCTCAACACCCACAATACACCTAGGTGACACACACACACACACACACACACACACACACACACACACACACACACACACACACACACACACACACACACACACAGCCGAATGAAAATTACGCGCTCGAAAATCGTAGTTCAAAGGGCCCGGGTTCGATTTCCGGTCGAGGCAGAAACACATGGGCAGTTACTTTCCCCTGATGCTCATGTTCACCTGTCCAGGTGAACATGAGCATCATGTTCACCTGAACATCATTTGATGATGTTTTGAGCATCATCAAATAAATAGGTACCAGGGAGTTAGACAGCTGCTACGGGCTGCTTTTTGGGAATCTGTGTTCGTGTAAGACACATGAGTACCAGATATGATGGAAAAAATAATTGGTCGTGAGTCAGTGCCTTAGACAACCTTTGGTTAAAAAGGCGGGGTCCAGGAGCTAACAACACAATCCTGCAGGCACAAATAGTAAATATTAACAAACGGACGAAAGAATAACGAGGCAATTAGCATGACTACGCCGGAGTGTTTGCTAACGCAAGCATCTCGAGAGACGCTTCTCTAAGTGTCGTCAATTAACGAAATTACTGAAGTATTAGAAGTTGAGCGTTGTTACTCAGGAAATATTGGAGTCCAGCGTTGATAGGTTCCCCGGAGTCCAGCGTTGATAGGTTCCCCCGAGGCCAGCATTAGTAGGTTCCCTGATCGATGCTTTTACTCCCGAGAAAAGGTGGAATGGATAAAAAAGAAAGGAAAGCATGGCGATAAAATAAGAGATAAAAAATAGATTTATCCATAGGAATGGATAAAGAAAGGATGTGTGATAAGAAAGCTTTAAATGACTCTATTGCACAGAGGAATGACGAAGTAGAGTGGGCCGAAAAATGAAGGAAACGGAGGTAAGACTGAAGAATAGGAGGAGAGGAGGAGTAGGAGGAAGATGGAAATGGAAGTAAGGTGAAAACGAAATCATCGTGAAGAAGAGCAAAGGATGTAGAGAAAAATAAAGTAGAGATGGGAGAAGAATTTGTTCGTAAGAGCAGTGGAGGTAGAGGCAATATTCTCTAGAGGAAATATTCCTCTAAAGAGCTTTCAAGAAGGTCGACATTTTTCCCCCAAAACTAAAATTCAAATATAATTATTGTCGTATTTATTATTAAAAAACAAATACTTCCAGTGTCATTTTTGACATCATGTCAAAGTCATTTTATTCACAGGAAAAAAAGTATCATCAAAGTGTCCATTTTGAACCAAAAATTTGAAGTACGGGAATCATATTATTTCCTCTGAAATTCCAATTGATGAACGTCATTGTTTTTTATAGAAATTTGATAGAAATTCCATAACAAATTAATTATAATTAGTGTGTAATTGCTGAGAATTCTCAGATGAAGTGTTTAATTGCGTTATGATTCAATTTATCGAAGTGCAACGTGTTGGTGTTCATTGTGGGTGTGTGAGTGCCTGTGTTCACCATGAGTGCCTGTACTCACCGTGGTAGCGGTGAGTACAGGCACTCAGTATATATATAATATATATATATATATATGTCGTACCTAATAGCCAGAACGCACTTCTCAGCCTACTATGCAAGGCCCGATTTGCCTAATAAGCCAAGTTTTCCTGAATTAATATATTTTTTCTAATTTTTTTCTTATGAAATGATAAAGCTACCCATTTCATTATGTATGAGGTCAATTTTTTTTATTGGAGTTAAAATTAACGTAGATATATGACCGAACCTAACCAACCTTACCTAACCTAACCTAACCTAACCTAACCTAACCTAACCTAACCTATCTCTATCGGTTAGGATAGGTAGCAGAAAAAGTTAGGTTAGGTTAGGTTAGGTAGGTTAGGTAGTCGAAAAAACATTAATTCATGAAAACTTGGCTTATTAGGCAAATTGGGCCATGCATAGTTGGCTGAGAAGTGCGTTCTGGCTATTAGGTACGACATATATATATATATATATATATATATATATATATATATATATATATATATATATATATATATATATATATATATATATATATATATATATATATATATATATATATATATATATATATATATATATATATTGTGTTTATAGTTAATTATATTACTATTATATTACATAATTAATTAAACTATTATATTTATAGTTTGTGTTTATAGTTTATATATATAGTTTATATAATAACTATACATTATATATATAGTTTGTGTTAACTATATATATTATAGTTATATTATTCGTTTGTTTCACAGTTAATTTCCAATTCTAAAAATATTTTTCACTCCTGCAATTGCTTGTATGTCTCTCCTCTCCTCTTCATGAAACATTTTTGTTGTTGCATGCAATGGCGGAGAAAGGAAGACTTTGCAAGCTTGTCTCTGGTACTTCCCTGCACTTGCAAGGGAAGGTACCGGAAAGGGATGTATTTTCCTACTTGCAACCAGCATCTAGGAGAGAAGGGAACATCTCTCCTTACTGTTACCAACCACTTGGACTGGACGATAGAGATCCACGATCGTCCAAGTGGTTGGGCATCATTCCTTTCCTCTGTCCAATACCATATCCTAATCCCTCATCGCTTCCAAGTGTTATATAGACGTAATGGCTTAGTGATCCTGATGAATACCTTACCTTCCTTCACTTGCCTTTTCCGTCAATTTGCTCCCTGTAGCATCCACTGAAGCTGTTCTGTGGCGCAGGTGGTGACTGGGTGCTGGCCGTGGCCAAAGTCCCAGGGCTTCGACCTTCTGAAAGTGAACCCTGAGACAGAGGGCGCCACGTCTCCCGTCTTGCCGCTGAAGAAGGCACAGGCGCGGATCGCCATTGGAAACGTGGACGTTGAGAAGAAAATTGAAAGGAGAAAAGGTTTGTGATATTTTTTGCTTCGATGGTTAATGTGTATATACTGTAGGCCACAAGGTGGTTATGTATTTTAGTTCCAGCTTGTGACTACTTGAGCTGGAGGACAATTTATAGGGTAATATAGAGATCATTAACAATACTTCACTCTCTAAGACAGTGGTGTTTTCATATTGAGCCAAAAAAACACTGAACCAAATGGTGTTTAATCTAACTGATGTTTTCATTGTGGCAGCTGACCTGAGCAACATTCCCCCAGCCCCACTCTTCCAGCTATCCACCGACACATCCTTCAACAGCGTTCCTCTTCCCCTTGAGATCCCGGGGAACTTGAACAACAAGCAGCCATCCGCCTTCTCTTCCTCCTCCTCCTCCTATGTGGAGGAAAATTACGTCTCTCCGACGCAAGATATCTTCAAGACGAGTGCTTCATACGACGGTCCAACGTCCCCCAGTGTGGCCACATCTACCTCCATCAAGTTCGGCTCAAGAAACACCCTGAGCCCAGCAGAAGGGCACTTGCAACCACCATCAAGTAATCAGTTTCAGAGTCATACTTCACTTTCAGCGTCGCCTACAGTTCCCAGCCGGCCCCATAGTGGCGTAACCTTAGACTCCTTCGCTGGGATCTTTGATTCTGACATTGGATTATCTGATGACCCCAGCGGGGAGACGTTTATCATTGATGATAACGATATTAGTCAGGACTTAGATGCTGACGACGTCTCAGACCAGTCTTATAATGCACCACAATCCCTAAGTCAGTCCTTCAGTTCCCTCGTTCCTCCCAGCAAGTCTTACAATGCTCCTTCTCTTTCCAGTCAGTCTTTAGGTGTTCCATCGTCATCAATCCAATCTTACAATGTTCCATCCCCACCAAGTCAGTCTTACAATGCTTCACCATCTCCTAGTCAGTCTTACAATGATCCACCGTCCCCTAGTCAGTCATACAATGCTCCTCCGTCCCCTAGTCAGTCTTACAATGATCCACCGTCCCCTAGTCAATCATACAATGATCCACCGTCCCCTAGTCAGTCTTACAATGCTCCACCGTCCCCTAGTCAGTCATACAATGCTCCTCCGTCCTCTAGTCAGTCTTTCAATGCTCCACCGTCTCCTAGTCAGTCTTACAATGCTCCTTCGTCCCCTAGTCAGTCTTACAATGCTCCACCGTCCCCTAGTCAGTCTTACAATGCTCCACCGTCCCCAAGTCAGTCTTACAATGCTCCACTGTCTCCTAGTCAGTCTTACAATGCTCCTCCGTCTCCTAGTCAGTCTTACAACGCTCCGCCGTCCCCTAATCAATCTTACAATGCTCCACCGTCCCCTAGTCAGTCTTACAATGAACCACCGTCCCCAAATCAGTCTTACAATGCCCCACCGTCCCCTATTCAGTCTTACAATGCTTCACCGTCCCCTAGTCAGTCATACAATGCTCCTCCGTCCCCTAGTCAGTCTTACAATGCTTCACCGTCCCCTAGTCAGTCTTACAATGAACCACCGTCCCCAAGTCAGTCATACAATGCTCCTCCATCCCCTAGTCAGTCTTTCAATGCTCCTCCGTCCCCTAGTCAGTCTTATAATGAACCACCGTCCCCAAGTCAGTCTTACAATGCCCCACCGTCCCCAAGTCAGTCTTACAATGCTCCACCGTCCCCTAGTCAGTCTTACAATGCTTCACCATCCCCTAATCAGTCATACAATGCTCCTCCGTCCCCTAGTCAGTCATACAATGCTCCTTCGTCCCCTAGTCAGTCATACAATGCTCCACCGTCCCCTAATCAGTCATACAATGCTCCACCGTCCCCTAGTCAGTCATACAATGCTCCTCCGTCCCCTAGTCAGTCTTACAATGAACCACCGTCCCCTAATCAGTCCTACAATGCTCCTCCGTCCCCTAGTCAGTCATACAATGCTCCACCGTCCCCTAATCAGTCATACAATGCTCCACCGTCCCCTAGTCAGTCCTACAATGCTCCTCCGTCCCCTAGTCAGTCTTACAATGAACCACCGTCCCCTAATCAGTCTTACAATGCTCCATTTGAGCCAAGCCAATCTTACAATGTCCCAGCAGCACCTAGCCAGTCTTACGACTCCCCTGTTCCTCTAGGTACTTCCTATGCATCCTCAAGCGGGAGCAATGTTGGAGGGGAAGGAGCGTCTGGAGGTGGAAGTTCTGTAGAAGGAGGTGGGGGATACGATGGTGGGAAGTTTGAGACTCTCAGTTTGTCTTACGAGGGTCTTAAGACGCCCAGCGCCTCCTATGAGACAGCCCCAGCGCCTAGCGCTTCCTATGACGCTCCTTCGGCTCCCAGCACATCCTACAGCGTTCCTCAAACTCCAGGTGACTCCTACGCCCCAGCACCCAGCACTGACGGTGCTCCAGAACCTCCAAGTGTCACCTATGCAGCTCCACCTGCTCCTTCAGGTGGCGGTGAACTCAGTTCCAGTTTCATTGTGTTCCACTTAGGTGGTGGAGGAAGTTCTGGTGACAGTGGAGGATATAGTGGAGGAAGTTCTGGTGACAGTGGAGGATATAGTGGAGGAAGTTCTGGTGATAGTGGAGGATATAGTGGAGGAAGTTCTGGTGATAGTGGAGGATATAGTGGAGGAAGTTCTGGTGACAGTGGAGGATATAGTGGAGGAAGTTCTGGTGATAGTGGAGGATATAGTGGAGGAAGTTCTGGTGATAGTGGAGGATATAGTGGAGGAGGAGTTTCTGGTGACTGGTGAGTGGAGGATATGGTGGAGGAAGTTCTGGTGACAGTGGAGGATATGGTGGAGGAAGTTCTGGTGAGGATAGTGGAGGAAGTTCTGGTGATAGTGGAGGATATAGTGGAGGAAGTTCTGGTGATAGTGGAGGATATAGTGGAGGAAGTTCTGGTGACAGTGGAGGATATAGTGGAGGAAGTTCTGGTGACAGTGGAGGATATAGTGGAGGAAGTTCTGGTGATAGTGGAGGATATGGTGGAGGATATGTTGGAGGAAGTTCTGGTGATAGTGGAGGATATAGTGGAGGAAGTTCTGGTGACAGTGGAGGATATAGTGGAGGAAGTTCTGGTGATAGTGGAGGATATAGTGGAGGAAGTTCTGGTGATAGTGGAGGATATAGTGGAGGAAGTTCTGGTGATAGTGGAGGATATAGTGGAGGAAGTTCTGGTGACAGTGGAGGATATAGTGGAGGAAGTTCTGGTGATAGTGGAGGATATAGTGGAGGAAGTTCTGGTGATAGTGGAGGATATAGTGGAGGAAGTTCTGGTGACAGTGGAGGATATAGTGGAGGAAGTTCTGGTGACAGTGGAGGATATAGTGGAGGAAGTTCTGGTGATAGTGGAGGATATAGTGGAGGAAGTTCTGGTGATAGTGGAGGATATGGTGGAGGGAGTTCTGGATATGGTGACAGCTCTTTTGTCTATGGTGGAAGCGGGGAAATATATGGTGGTGGAGGATATAGTGGTGCAGATTCACACGAGCATTTTAGTGGAGGTTATGGAAGTGGTGGTGACAGCCATGGCGGAAGTGGAGAGTATGGTGGTGTCGGCCATGGTAGTGGAGGATATGGTGGGGGCCATGGTGGTGGTGGTGGTTATGGTGGTGGCCATGGTGGTGGTGGTGGATATGGCGGCCATGGTGGTGGTGGCTATGGTGGCGGCCATGGTGGTAGTGGTGGATATGGTGGCGGCCATGGTGGATATGGTGGCGGCCATGGTGGCTATGGTGGCGGCCATGGTGCACGCCCCTATCGCCCAAGACCTCGACCCACACCATTTCAAGATATTTTAGAAAGATTTAAAGGCATATTTAGGCTAAGAGGTTGATGAGTTCTTAGCCATTTTCTTGTCATCCTTGGCAATAGAGAATAGGTCTAAAGATGAGATCTAACGAGTTACTCGTTAACCAACGCGCTGTGATTGGTCTATTTATGTATTTAACGAAGCTCTGTAACGAAGCCAAGTTTTGTACTCGAGTGTAAATATTATTGTTGTTTGATGATTTGCAGTTGTATGTTAATACTTGAATGTCGATATTAAATAAAGTGTATTCTGTGATAGCATTGTTTCAAGTGTTTGGTCTTTCAATGTTTCATCTTGACGAATTATGCTCTTAAATATTCTCTAAGAAAGGATCATTGATGCTAGCTAAATATAAAAATATATTTAGTATGCAGGCGATGAGTCACAATAACGTGGCTAAAGTATGTTGACCAGACCACACACTAGAAGGTGAAGGGAGGACGACATTTCGGTCCGTCCTGGACCATTCTCAAGTCGATTCTAGTGTGTGGTCTGGTCAACATATTTGATATGTTATTATAGATTATAAATGTCCTCTGAGCTTATTTTATCTCAGTAGCGAGTAAATTATAATATACTATTTATTTTTATAATTATACAATTATTATTATAATATAAATATAGCAGTTATGCTCCTCGTTTGGCTTTAAATAGGTAGCAATAGGTAAATATATCCGCCTGAAAACAAAGCAGCACTTAAACTATATTTTAAAAAGTCTTTCAACTCGATACAGTGAGATGTGGTGAATGAAGCAGTTCGAACAAGTGAATAAATACACAAGGGCCGTGATAAGGGTTCGAACTTACGTTCAGGATGATTCCAGACGTAAGTTCGAGCCCTCATCACGGCCCTTGTGGATTTATTCATGTGATATATCACGCTATTATGGTTTCTGTCTGTATAGTTCGAACAAGCTTTCCCTGTTTTCTCCTGCTTAATTTGAACGAGGTACTGCAAGGAATGGATCCTATTGTTTAGAGAATATGAAGAGGCTTGCACAGACGTCCAGCAGAGAGAGATCCCACTTGCTCCTTCCCCCTTTCTGATTGGCTGTTAAGAAGATCAGAAGCGTGTTGACCACCAGGCTCTTAATCTGGATCCTGGATGATGGTACTCATCCAGGCAGTGTACTCCTGTGTACTCAGGAATCCTTATTAGAGGATTACAGCTGATAAAATCGAAGGGAGAGGAGTTGGGACTCGATCTAAATCCTTCAAATTGCGAAATCACCTCTTTAAACCAACCAATCATAAAGGCAGGTAACATCTGCCTTATCACGAACCTAATTGTCGCCCCCCACCTGACGACCAGAGGAGATTGGAAAACATAATAGGTGATTAGAAGGCTTAAGATGATTCGTACCACCTCACAAGACTTAACTATTTTGCTAAGATGCTCAGACTCTTTCGATTGTCCAAAATTAACAGAGTATAAGCAACTCCTAAAACCTATATCCATGAATGTGTTAAACCTCTCCCTGATAGATGAGCAATGGAATCAGGCAATGTTTCCTGTAACACCCCTTCCCACTAGCAGCAGACTACGATACCATCACAAGCCGTAAACTACGATATCAACGCTAGCAGCAGACTACGATACCATCACAAGCAGCAGACTACGATACCATCACAAGCAGCAGACTACGATACCATCGCTAGCAGTAGACTACGATATCAACGCTAGCAGCAGACTACGATACCATCACAAGCAGCAGACTACGATACCATCGCAAGCCGCAGACTACGATACCATCGCAAGCAGCAGACTACGATACCATCGCAAGCAGCAGACTACGATACCATCGCAAGCTACGCATCGAAGCAGCAGACTACGATACCATCGCAAGCAGCAGACTACGATACCAAGCAAGCAGCAGACTACGATACCATCGCAAGCAGCAGACTACGATACCATCGCAAGCAGCAGACTACGATACCATCGCAAGCAGCAGACTACGATACCATCACAAGCAGCAGACTACGATACCATCGCAAGCAGCAGACTGCGATACCATCGCAAGCAGCAGACTACGATACCATCGCAAGCAGAGACTACGATACATCACAAGCAGCAGACTAGATACCATCACAAGCAGCAGACTACGATACCAAAGCAGCAGCAGACTACGATACGATACCATCGCAAGCAGCAGACTGCGATACCATCACAAGCAGCAGACTACGATACCATCACTAGCAGCTAGACAGCAGACTACGATACCATCGCTAGCAGTAGACTACGATATCAACGCCAGACTGCGATACCATCGCTAGCAGCAGACTACGATACCATCGCTAGCAGCAGACTACGATACCATCGCAAGCAGCAGACTACGATACCATCGCAAGCAGCAGACTACGATACCATCGCAAGCAGCAGACTACGATACCATCGCAAGCAGCAGACTACGATACCATCGCAAGCAGCAGACTGCGATACCATCACAAGCAGCAGACTACGATACCATCACAAGCAGCAGACTACGATACCATCGCAAGCAGCAGACTGCGATACCATCACAAGCAGCAGACTACGATACCATCACTAGCAGTAAACTACGATATCAACGCTAGCAGCAGACTACGATACCATCGCAAGCAGCAGACTACGATACCATCGCAAGCAGCAGACTACGATACCATCGCTAGCAGCAGACTACGATACCATCGCAAGCAGCAGACTACGATACCATCGCAAGCAGCAGACTACGATACCATCGCAAGCAGCAGACTACGATACCATCGCAAGCAGCAGACTACGATACCATCGCAAGCAGCAGACTGCGATACCATCGCAAGCAGCAGACTACGATACCATCGCAAGCAGCAGACTACGATACCATCGCAAGCAGCAGACTACGATACCATCACAAGCAGCAGACTACGATACCATCGCAAGCAGCAGACTGCGATACCATCGCAAGCAGCAGACTACGATACCATCGCTAGCAGTAAACTACGATATCAACGCTAGCAGCAGACTACGATACCAACGCTAGCAGTAAACTACGATATCAACGCTAGCAGCAGACTACGATACCACCGCAAGCAGCAGACTACTGTAATGTCATCATCTTTTCCAAAAATCTTCATATCCTTGTGCGAATCTTTGTGACTGACTCACGCAGTGGAAGAAGGAAAGAGATTTTAATATATAATGAGTCAAAAGCTTGCGCAAGAAATCTCATCAAAATAAAAAATGCATTTTAACATTATTCTAAACATATTTCTTTGAAAACGACAGAAAGTTTTAGATTAATGATTCTGGCACGAATCTTCTCGATATTCCTTATGTTTTTCATCACTGAAGCAGGAAGATTAAATATTAACTCTCCAAAGTTCATTTGTACTGATTATTTGGGTCTGACGCCTTGTGATGCATTTCGTAAGGTCACTCCTCACATTCTCAAAGAAGGTCACTCCTCACATTCTCAAAGAAGGTCACTCCTCACATTCTCAAAGAAGGTCACTCCTCACATTCTCAAAGAAGGTCACTCCTCACATTCTCAAAGAAGGTCACTCCTCACATTCTCAAAGAAGGTCACTCCTCACATTCTCAAAGAAGGTCACTCCTCACATTCTCAAAGAAGGTCACTCCTCACATTCTCAAAGACAAATTCTTCTGTGTAGCACCTGATTATATTCTCTAATTGTGAGGTGGTAGGTGACATGGATGAATGCCTTACATGGGGTATTAATGGGCTATTAAATTAATGGGGTATTAATGGGGTATTAAATTAAGAGTGTGACATGTTGGTAGTTTGTGTTCTTCTGGTTACTTCCGTTCCTGTTGCAGGGTCATTTGGTCCAGCTTCTGTATTGGTCCAGCTTCTGTATTGGTCCAGCTTCTGTATTGGTCCAGCTTCTGTATTGGTCCAGCTTCTGTATTGGTCCAGCTTCTGTATTGGTCCATCTTCTGTATTGGTCCAGCTTCTGTAT